ATGAAACTGAGCAAACTCCGGGAGGCAGTGAAGGACAGGAAGGCCTGGCGCGATATGGTTCTTGGGGTCACAAAGAGTTGGACACGACTTAACGACTGAACAACAACAATTGCATAATATGTTCCTGGAACAGGATTTTTTTCCCATTGCTTCATATTTACCAGAATTTTTTACATTGCTATTGGTGATCAATTTCAATTAATAAGAACAATGTTTAATACCCCCTGAATGTTTAACCTCGCCTGAATACAGGCTATATACTTATTGAGATTACTCTTGGTAATAGTTACTTTTAGTAACAGTTATAGTAATGTAGCAATCATCATCTCCCCTTCCATAGGTGACAAGCATTCTGTTTATGAAGTCTTCACAACATTATCTTGAATATCTCTAAATAGTGTATATACTGAGATTTTGAAAATACACATGCTTATTAATATAGAATTAAGCATTAATTGCTATTTGGAATGTTTATCCCTTTTTCATTAACTTTAAGAAAGATCAACAATTTCATTGAAAATATATCTAACTTTTTAACTTACATATTTGCAATTCAACAAGATCCTAAGGAACAACTCATCAGGAATGTATATGTTCTATACTGTGGACATACAACACCAACAGACACATGACTATGGGCTAAAATAATGTACATTTTACAAGGAAAAAAAGATTTCTACTGTCTAGAAAAATATGAAAGCATACATGAATATTCTTAACTTTGCATTATTATTCTACTTCTGAAAAAGTTAAGGAAAAGAAAGGGCCTATACATTGCAGTAAAAGCCCCAACATGAATAACTAGAAATATCTCAAAAGAGAAAAGGGTTGCTAAAATAGGTATCAGCAGATACTGTTCATATACTTTTGAACACATTTTTATAGACATCGGGATGAGAAGCTGGACCTAGAAAGCAATACAGATTTTCAGGGAGATTACTTCTTTCATCAGTATCACCTTTTCCTCCTGCATTTCTGGGATCATAGAGAATCAAAGTATATACACTACCCAATACAATGAATATTTGTAAATCCTTTAATATGGCATTTCAAGGCATCTGAGGATGGAGCAGAGGAGAACCAGTGTGGTATAAGAATTGATCATGAAGCTTACTATGTGACTCTTGGCCAGACACTACTTCTTACCCCAATCTTCCTCACAGATTTGTTATTTTTAATGGTATATAACTGGAGATGCCCATGTGTACCATTTTAAGCTGCTAGAGAGTGGGCAAAATTAAATGTAAAAACAAGCACACACACAAGTTTGGGTGAATTTACATCCCCATCTTTAAATTGATTATTCCAGACCATCTCTAGCTGCATTAAAGGAAAATTAACACAGGGTGGCTACTTGTTATCATGTCCCAAAGTGCATATTAAGTGAAATATTTTGAGAAAACCATATGTTTGCTCATGAATAAATACTGACTTTTGATTAGATGAAGCTCTCATACATAAATTTATATAGATCTAGAAAAATCAGTTCTATGGATTGCAAACAGGGCTTTGCAATTGCATAGGATTTTTTTCCTGAGGACTAGCAGGATGTTTACTTTTGTAAACAATAAAAATAAGGGAAGGATGTATCTGTAACAAGTTGGATACTGACTGGCATTTTACTGGTGGAAAGGATTCATGCTGCTATTGCATTCCAAAAATATGTCAAATCCTTTGAAATAAAACATTGAGAAACAATGAACAAATATATTTTAGACAGGAAAGTAAGAAGGTTGCAGTAAAAATATGGACCGCAATAAATAAAACTCACCACCAAATACATCTCCATTCTGGTAGTTTTTCCCCTTCTGAGCTTCCTCTTCATTTTGTACAGCAGAAACATGCTTGGCTGATGCACAGCCCATAGTTTCATTTAGTCAACTCCAGCTTGACTGAACCGCAAACCATTTCTACAGATGTGCACACATGGTCTTTGTGTTTTTTAGAAAAATAATCCACCTTCCAGCTTTGTAGTCAAGACACCTTTTAAAAATCTGTTGATATAAAAAAAGAGGAAGAAGATAAAAATTCAGTAGGTGTACAAGCTAAATGGCTATTACTAATGTTTTCCACAGTGAAATATCTAAAAAGAAGGATGTTCCTTAGTGGGCAAGAACCACATTATATAAATTCTTACCTATCGAAAGAGCCATCTATATTCTTTAACCTCTATGAAATTATGAAAAAGAAATACGTTTGTTTTAATGGCCAAAGCTTTCTTTTGATTAGCAAGCTTTGTCGCAACACACAAAATAAAGGAAGGAATTGTTTAAATTAAATTATTCCATGTACTTTCCTACAAACCACGTGTCTGTTTCAAGGAGATAATTTTCATACAAACGATGCCTTTATTGACAAAGTACTTTCATTTCTAATACACAGTTATCATATATGTCAGCTTTAGGAAAAGGGTCAATTATTGATGAAGACTGTTGAGTAAATAGTTGCTCAGTAGCTTCATGAATAATTGAATACTATCAATTCCGTATATCCCTATAAATCAGACCATAGCATCAAATCTCTATTCTATCACCATCTTGCTGAATCAGCATAAATCCACACATGGACTGAACTTCAGGTAGTCATAACTAGTATATGGATATCATTTTAAGTTGCATGGGCTTCCTGAAGAATCCCTTAGATGCAAATTCATGTGATATGTCTCCTACCAGAGAACACCTATGCTTACATAATGTAAAGTAACACAGAGACCTCTGAATACTATCATTCATTCATAAACTAGATTTTCAAGGCCTCATATTCTTCACTGGGGGGTTTAGTCACTCAACAATCCTACTTTTTGTAAATCTTGCACTTATCTACACAAACTCATCAGCTGTTTACTTGGTCTGCTGTTCCTGTATCTCTGTTTCCATGAAAGCTATAATTATAAATAAAATCATGATACACTAATTATTTTTATTTGCATAACAGTAAAAACTGGGACTAAGATTAAATATAAAGAAGGCCAAACTAATGACAAGGCACAGCAACCAGCTTTAGAAATGACAATGAAAATATGGAAGTGTGGATAGCTTTTGCCATTTAGGATCAATTATTAACCAAGAAAAAAAAATGCTGCGGACTAGCACTTGGTAGAATAGCAATGAAGACCTTGAAAAACATATTCAAATGCCAGGACATATCTATACGAACAAGGGACAGAATTGTGCAGGCAATTCCCTGCAACACTCTATGGAAATGGAAGAAGTAGGATAGGAATGGTATTGATGCGTTTAAACTTTGGAGTTGGAGGAGACTGAGAATACCATGGATAAATAAGAAAACAAATGGATCACAGAACAAATCAACCCAGAGTTCTCAAAGCACAAATGACCAGGTTCAAATTATCATACATTGGACACATTTTGCAAAGACCTAGTTCTCTTGAGAAATTTATAATGCTGGGAAGGTGTAAGGAAAGAGGAAAAGAGAACAACCAGCAGCAAGACAGATGGACTCAATTATAGTGGTAATGAGTGGAAGTTCTAAAGGATGGGTTGCGGACAGATCATCCTGGAGAAAATCCATCTATATGATTTCTAAGACTTGACATCGATTTGCTGCTGCTGCTGCTGCTGCTGCTGCTGCTGCTGCTGCTGCTGCTTCTTCTTCTTCTTCTTGTATGCTTCCTTGAAATACTTCAAGTAGTTTACATCCATAAAACATTAAAAGTATACTACAGCACATCTGTAAATAACACTGTATCAGGCATTTTGACCAACCACTACCTCAGACTACTACTCCCATGGGATACTACCCTCTGCTTTGAAGGCTCTGTGGAACAGCATATTCATTACAACCTTCCTGAATGGTAAACAGGGAAGTGCCCAACCTGACACGGGAGGGCAAGCTCTTCCAGAGCAACAGAGATGCATACCAAGAATGACTTCCTCTGAGACCCCCATCTTCTTGAAATCTGGGGGCAGAGAGATCCACAGCATGTGTCATCCCTTCACAGCATGCCATCTCAGCCAGCTCATATTGGACATACAGGTTCCACTGCTACTCAGACATCCCCAGAGGTAATAAAGGTCCTGGCCATAATCAACATACCAAGGTCAAAGGTATGCTCATGCAACAGAAGTCACCATATAAAAAATACTGGTACTTGAATAACAGATGTACAATGTATATACATTTCTGTTAAATACATGTGGGATATGCAAGGAAATCAAATCCTTCATATCAATATGGGGGATACATTTAACAGATGTAACAAAGCTACATTCAGATCTGTCAACAACCACCACAGTAACAAAGAGGTTAAACAACCTGTTGCAAGGCATATCTTATTACCAAATGTTGGATCTGAAAGTTACTACTGAAAAAGAGAGAATTCAAATAATCTCTTTGATTCCCACCCATCCATCATATCTGTTGTCTTCCCTTCTACTTGCTTCAATCTTGCCAAACAATATTTTCCAGACCATAGTTTACTCACATTCACATGCCCAAAGTATTTGAGTTCTTGTTTGTTGATCATTGCTTTAACAGAGCAGCTAGTGGCTATTTGGTCCAGACTGATCAAACTGATAATTCTTGTAGTATCCTCTTAACTATCTCAAAACCCATACTTTAGGAGTATTTATCTTCTTTCTCATTCTTAAGTGTTCAGCTTTCAGAACCAGACTGGAAATTCCATTGTTTTAACTATTCCAATCTTTGTTGTTATTTAAATTTCTTTATCATTTGTCATTGCCTTCCTCTCTAAGATTAATCTTTTTAATTCAGCATACTGTCCATTTTATTTATTCTTAAGCCTAAGGAAGCAAAATGATTTACCACTTTATTGGTTCATGGTCAACAGTAAGTTCATTAAGCATGTACGGTGACATTAACTGTGATTTCAATGAGGGTTTTTTGCATCTTTTTTGCCTTCATTTAGCAAAGTAGGGCCACCAGTACTTCGTCCAATCTACCACTCTGATAATATATTCACTGAAGAAAACAGATATGGGGACAATATGCATCTTTACTAAATCACTGTGAATTCATTTTTATTGCCATCTGTGGTTTATTGTAAAGATTCTTCAGAGTATAATCATGTATTCCAGTATTTCCATTAATCTTGGAATGTTCAACATTCTGACCTGACATACAAAGTTAAAGATCTAGCTGTAGTCAAGGAAGCAAAGATCAACCTCTTTATAAGTTTCTTGCTTTCCCCATATCCATCCTATGTTAGTTATTTGACCTCATGTGTCTCTGCCTTTTCAAAAACCTTCTTTTAGCAGCATTTGTCTCTGCAAGCACATTCTTAAGCAAACTTTTCCAATCCCTTTTGCTCCATATTTGTTGACATGCTGCTATTAGTGCTTTAACTGCCTCTTTTCCTGCAGCTTTACATAGTTCAGTGAGCATTTCATCTATGCATGGTACTGTCCTATCTGACAGCTGGTCTATTGCCTTTATTCCTCATTTTCTGCAAGAGCTAATTCTGAAATGTATTTTTGTTCTGCAAATATTTCACTCTATAATCCCATTTGTAAAAATTCTCAGCATGGTCTTTTCATCTTCCTTTGACCTCATCAAATCTCTTCCATAATATTTTTAGGTATTCCTCTTAGGCCTAAATTTTCATGCAATTCCTTTGATTTTGAATGGATGAATGAATATTTTAGTATTGTTCATTTCCTTGTTCACTTCCTATATCTGTTGACATTTTTGACTGCTACATCTTTTCTTGACCTTTCATATTTCATACTGAAAGTCTGCGTTCAGTCATTGTATGTGGTGCCCAAGGTTTTTATTTTCTCTCTTTTCCTATTATGATAGCTTATTCTGAAAGCACTTGGATCCTTTCTTCTTTGAAACTCTGAAAATACTTTTTCCACTTCAACTTTCATGATGTCTCTTATCTTTTCTTATAGCTCCCATGTTTGCTTTTGCATGAGTTATTGTACTGAATCTGTTCCTTACATTGATCTTATATTCTGACTGACCTTCAAGTGAAATCTTGCTGGCACATCTACTCACTTAATGTTCTAAATTTAATCTGTATATCTGACACCAATAATTTATGGTCTGTTCCACAATCTACATCTAGCAGTGTCCTGGCTGACTAGATTACACTTCTCCAGCTTCTGTTTCTCATTATTTAGTCTATTTAATTCCAATACTGTCATCTGGTGATGTCTATGTCTAGAGTCTGTTTATATTGCTTGAAATAAGTGTTGGCAATAAACAAAGAAATCTCTGCAAAATTCTATTAGCCTATCTCTTGCATTATTACATTTACCCTATCCAAATCTTTCTGATTCTATTTACCTCCAGATCTACAATTTTTGCATTCCAACTACCCATTAAGAACACTACATCTTTTCTTGATGTCTTATCTAGTAATTTGCCACAGAATTCTTCAATGTTCAGGATTTCAATGTGGAGAGTCCCACATTCAGATCAGAAATACCATATATTGTCTTGAGTGTTTCAGATCAGCTTGGAGAGAGTTAAAAAAAAAAGTTCACTTGCATCCATTCAAAACCAAGTGCCTAAGAAAGGAAGATTTAAGCACTCAAATCCATATAATTGTGTTTATTTTTATTAAGATTAGATAAACAGCAGTATTAGTTCAACATTACACAATTAAGGTAATGTGTGATTTGATGCTGGTTTACACAAAGCGATGAGAAACTCAGTGTATATCCAGCAGGCATTGTCAAATCTACTACAAGGTCTCTATGGCACATGTGCAAGATTTCTCTGGAAAACATCTATATGGAAATTACATCCTCTAATTACTAAGTACTACAGAACATTTGGGTGGCAGGGGAAGCACAATAGAACTTAGAAGAACTGGGAGAAGAGAAATCCTTGATGATGGGTGCCTGAAAAAGTGTCATATAGTAACGGAAGCACACTGTGCAAGGCAGACATTCTGGAAAGTAGTGGCACATTTTTTGTCAGTGGAGCAGAAACAGAAGCACTGTATTTGCTAACTAGGTCATTGTTGTAGTAATAACTCTCCTTTCCAAATCCTTGCTCACATCTC